TTGTCGAATTATAGGCGATTAAGTGAGCCAGCTAGTTGCATGTAGTGATGGAGGTACCTCCTGATAGGTGATAGTATGGGTTGGGCAGCACTGAATCGCCTTGTCGAAACCACAGGCGTCTATAATTCTCTTGATAGGCGCAAACATCTCTTGATAGGTTTTGGACCGATTTCGTGGACGGATTTCTCTGAGAACTTAGATATTACATTGAGCTCGACGTTACCTGAGCATGGCTTCTAACACAGAAGAAGTCGCGCTGTGTATGTAGCGGGCCGATCAGATTTGGCCGGATTTATTGCAGACTGGGCTTCGCTCCAGATGTGCCTGATCGCATCTCCGGCGGAGGTTTGCCTAAGAAATGTCGACAATGAGCAAAATGTTTCCAGAATTCCATTGGTCGAAGCGCCATTCAGTCACAATCGCTATCCATCAACGGCAATGAGGAAGAAGAGCGATCTCCACCGGCACGACATCAAGGGTAGTTACATTGTTCTTTCTTCTAGTTATGGTTCTCATTAAGGATTATGGGCGATATTAGACAGTACCATTTTGACAAGCCGTTCACTAGTGAATATATTTTAGCGAACAATCTGATCCTTGAGTTACTGATAACCTTCTATCTGAGAATGTTTTCAGCACCATTACAATGTCGTCAGCTCTGCGGCCATCCGTCGTCGAGTGTTGTCGCGCCGTGTTTGCAGCATTCTTGTGGCATGAACATTTGGTGAAGGACGCTATGGCCGCTGCTGCTTATCTAAGATTTCATCAACATCTGCAGAATGTGAGTGCAGTTCTCCCCCAATCTCCCCTGAGTTCATTTCAATGTGGCTCGTGCTGAAAACATCATTCTCGTTCATAGCTATGGAATCACTCCGATGTTCGCGAGTCGGCTGCTCCGGCCGCTCTTCAACCCATCGTACGTCTCTGGATTGAAGTTTGTGCAGCTGTGCGAGCCAGCGTAGACCAGCACCTCATTGTACCGCCTGCTGGAGGTAAAGCATTCGGAAGTGTCGCAAGAAAACGAGAGGTATTTACCTATTTAATTTTTTTTCAATTATGTTTGTGTAGTAGAGTCTGGAAGCCATGTAAAAGAGTCCAGAGAGAAATAAAAAACAGGTCGCCAGACATACACCTGGTACTGTGGACTCCCTCTCACTAAGGGAACCGACCTTCGCCTTCTGTTTTGACATCAATTTTGGACTGTTACTTTTTCCCTCGAATGGGTGCAGTCTTCGTATGCCTTTTTGCATTTCCCTCATTGGCCCCAAGTTCAATAACGCATGATTACTTTAAATAAATACTTTCAGTAAATAAATGTTTTAATTCCTTTGTGGCCTTACCCACGACAACACTCTCTTCCCTGCTCCTGTTATCTTTTACCGCTTGTGGAGCCCACGAAAAAGGCAATGCTTTCAGTTTGCTGTTCCACAGTTATTACTTGCTATGGGAAAAATCCAAAAGAGGGAAAATTGCTGCTTCACGTTGCCTCCTCTTGCGGATGGTTCGCTGCCGAGCCGAATTCAAGAATCTCTTAGCGACACGCTTTTGCCGCTTCGGGAGATTCTTTCATCCCAGCGTAGTCACCGACCAACTATCGCCTGTTTACCACTTGTTCAAATCGATGCAGCGCTTTCGGTTGGAATCAGCGGCGTGGGACACGTTCTCTTGGGGGCAGGGAAGAGCCCATGAAGTTGAAGAGGCATTAAAATAAACAAGCGAATTGATCATTTTGTGACTAAATATCATCATTGTGGCACGATATTCTCTCAAAAGGATGAGAGAAGAGTTGAAGGAAATTAGTTCAACTAGCTTGCTCGAATATCTTGTATCATTTCTCACGTTCACAATAAACGTTTCTTGAGTGACCAAATAATTGGATCACCTGATACTCTTTCTAGACTGAATATTTCAAGCATCGTTTAGTCATCTGGCGGAGGGTGCGAGCTATGTGACTGCAGTTTCAAGGTCCCCGTGACGATGCATATGCGAATGAACCATCCCGGCTGTGGAAAGGATTCGCAAGGGTGTGTTTCGAAGTTGAAAATTCGTGATTTTTTCCGTAGTCAAAAGTGAAAACCTACACTGAATTAGCAGTTGTTATACTGAAATTTTAGGTATGGCTACAACTCTTCAGGAAAATTCACATCGGGTTGGTCTGGAGATTGCGGAAGTGGAGGAAGAGCGGCGTCAACTTGGTAAGCTGTAGTTGACTGGCTTCATAGAAAAAATAAATTAAAGGAAGGGGTGGGGTGATTGAGGACTGTGCTAGGCGTTAAAGAGCAGTTCATGAGGCGTTTTGAGCGTGCGTTCATCAGTACGTCCTAAGTAGTGACCGTAGGGTACCCGACAGGGGGCCCGTCGTTTGGCAAGAAGGTAGAGACGCAGACGGGTCAGTGAACGAATCGGAACGAATGCTATGTGATATGAGTTTGATGCATTCTATCTAAAGGAATCGTCTCCGGAAGAATTTTGCACTCTTTCCCAACATGAATATGTCAGTTGTGATCACTAGAGACAACATACAAAGTTTCACACATAAAGATTCAGTTTATGAGAAAAAAAACAAACTGAAAACCACAATCTATGGACGGTTGAAAGTAGGTTAGCGAAAGCAAGGGATCGCATAGAAAAGTGCGGCTTGGGGTGGCCACGTATCAGGCGACACATCAGAAGAAGCGGGCTCAAGTGTATGAATTCGGAGAATAGAGACAAAATGATCGTTAAGATAGGATGCAGTAGAAAAAAATGTTACTGTCGTGGGGTGAAAAAGGTCAAAAGGAGTTCCTAGTTGAGGCAATTCGAGAATCAAGTGAAATCGTTGCCGTCGCCAGCATTTTTGGCAGATGTACGGCGGACTGAACGCATAAGGGAACCCGGGGTTCTTTCAGATTGTTCAGGAAAGAAACACTTTTTTGTTCTTTTCGTTCTTATCGTGAACGATCGTCTCAAGCCAGTGATTTCATGGGTGAGATAAGATCATGATTTCCCGTGGACGAGTCCCTTAACTTGATGCAAAGCCACTGCAGTAGACGCGACGACTTGTCCACTGACCTATCTGCGTCGCTACCCATCGCCGCGACGGGCCTTCTGTCGGGTATCCGCGTCACATGGATTATGCTTCAGGCATCGTAATCTCCCATGTGATATTCCCACACGGAACGTTTTTGCGTTGTAGGACCCTTTTCTATTCCAGGATTCCTGAAGCTTCGATTAAAAACAAATATTTTGATCTTTCAACTCTCGAGTCACGGTCGGTGCATAGCATCTGAACTTGCATAATCTATGAATTTGGCCCTTTCAACTCCTACTCCACCACACGCTCGTACAAGGTGTTTTGGCCGCTCACTGTGATCTCATATCACCATGAATGGGGTATATAAACCCCACTCATAGAGTAAGGTTCAGTTATTGTTCATCCTTCATATGAATAAAGGATTCAAGCGGAGGCAGTGTTCACAACACAAGGGGTGGTCAGACTGGAATCCTTATAGCTAGGCCCAGAACCAATCTTAGAGCCAAAAGTTTTACATTCAGAGCTGCTAGCTCATATATAAAGATAACAAAAAATATTGCTATTCCCAATACATTGAAAAATTTCAAAAGACAGATTTCTACTAAACTTCTAAGTTACAGAATATCCTAGTTATTTGAGATTCACCTGAAATCCCATCTCCATAATTGTATTGACTCATCATTTTTCTCACTGTGTGTTGTATTCTTTTTCT